GATGAAAGAAAAAAAAAAGAAAAAAAATTTAGTACGAATAATTTTTATATACCATTATTATTATTAATAAAACATTGTCATGCGGATGCGAGTCTAAGCGCTCACCAAATGTATAACAATTATATTTGTGAAAGGGGAATGATCCCACGTATGTCATGAATAAATAAATGAATATAGGCGTGAAATTTAAAATAATAACAACGAAAAACAAAAAAAAATCTGTTTAATATTTAGTTATACTCTTTTGAATACATATCATACATGTTGCCAAAAATATTGCCATTGCGAAGAAAAACATTAAAAATTGGTTCTTCATATGAAATCAATCGACCAAAATCAGACATTTCATCTTTCACATAAATGACAAACCACATCAATCTCGAGAAACAATGTATATAGGACGACAAACAAAAAAATGTCTATGGTTATAAAACGCTTTTCAACAAACGGTGATAAATTCTGGTGCAAGTACGAATTCGACATGTGACGATTGAAATTGTCTCATCGAGTTTGCCAGAATAATTGCACAAGAGAAGTTTGTGGGTTTGATGACAAAAAAAGGCGGCGAAACCCCGAGTACTTAAGGTGTTTTTATTGAATCGTTCAATGAATTATACAATATGTTTCACAGCGAGTATAAAAATTGAAGAAAAAAAAAAAAAAAAAAAAAAAAAAAAAAAAAAAAAAAGTCTCGATAAGTATTTGAATCATCTAAACAACATATTTAAAATTTGGCGCAAATCCACTGAATTGTTCCGGTCTTTTAGACTTTTTTCCTGGGACGAGGCAAATTGAAATTCGGACTTGCGGCGCGATCCTTGTGCCGATGGATAGTGTGGGTTATCAGATGCGTCCGATACTTGGCCATGTAAGGGCAGTACTCGCAGGCAAATTGTCGAGGTTTGTTGCATTCGTACATCCGGTGGCGTTTCAGCGAACAAAAGCGCTTGTAGGATTTCCCGCACCTGTTGCAGGTGTTTTGCATTTGCTGCAAAAATACGGGCTCGGCTGCCAAAGTTTGATCGCCGAATGCCGGAAGAATGACATTGTAGTCGGGAGTGATGAACAATGGATCTGGAAGTAGAGGCAAACGAGGTGGTTAGTTGTGAACTGGGACAGTTTCTTTGCTTTTTTTTATCATCACAGACAACAATCAAACTATTATAAGGGAAAAAAGTGCTAATTCATTGTATGCTCGATTGGTCGTAAGAAAATCGACAGCATTTTTTTTTTTTTTTTTTTTTTTTTTTTTTTTTTTTTTTTAATAAAAAGTTAAACAAGTACTGTGCTGGTGTACGCAGTGTAGATTGAAAATATTCCATGTGTTAAAAGTTAAGGTATTTTTAAAATTTTTTTCTTCTACCATGGCGTCGATATGGGAGCTCCAGATCTTGGTGATCTCTTTATAGACCTGTTGACAAAATCGGAACTTTAAAATGGACATTACATCGAAAAGTGTGTTAAAAAATTCAATGATATATTATCGATTTCTATAGTACGAACATTGAGTATTTAAACGTCATAATGAGCTTTAAGTGGGTACGAATGGATTTTGTTGGAAAAAATGTCTAATTATAACTCCATGCATTAATAAAAACTTGAATTTTTTTATCACATTGTTACAGTCATCAAAAGGTAAAATGATATAGTAGAGGATCGCAAAAGAAAATCGGTAGTAAAAACAGCTAAAAAGGTTGTTTTAATGTATAACGTACGTTTAAAATAAATATATTAACAAAATCAGAATTAACTGCCAATTTGGAGTTATCGAAAAATCACATGGATNTTTTTTTTTTTTTTTTTTTTTTTTTTTTTTTTTTTTTTTTTTTTTTTTTTTTTTTTGACAGAGAGATGCTTATTTTCCTCCACACTGGGATGGTGCCTTCTAATATGAACGGTCAAGTGGAAACTTCGTTTGCATCGGCATTTCAGCTTCTCTTTAAACTTGTTTCAATTTTGTTAAAATTTCCATTAAAAAAATAATTATCCATGATATCCATTAAAATGACGAGAAAGGAGTTTAAGGAAGGTCCTGCACTGGTAAGAATTTTTTTTTTTGTAAAATGGCTAAAAAATAACGACTTAAATTTTAATATTTGAAATAAATTTTACTTTTTTCGTAATTTAGGGCAACAAAATGTTAAATGATATTTTCGGCCAAGTACACATTAAGTATTGCATAAATCAGCCAATACCTATAGGTATCGTATCAATCAACGTAGTAATGCACCGGTTTACTCTTGTGCTTGCTTTCGATGTGCTTCTTGAGATCGTGTTTGTGTTTGCTTCGATGGGAGCAGTAGAAGCACCGGAACCTCGGACTTATGCCGCATTCGAATTTCGCGTGCCGCATCAGGTGGTGCACGTGATAGTAAGCTTTTCCGCAGCGCGTGCACACGTTTGTCTTACTGGGGTTCATCGATCTGTCGATGTGAACGAGCAGCTCTTGACTCGGTACCACTTGATAAGCCGACGCGGTTTGGAACGTGTCGTACATTTGATAATGATCTGGAATGAAAAAAAAAAAAAAAAATCAAAGTGTTAGAATAAGAAATGAAACGGAGATGCTATAAAGTTGACGTGTGCTTGCGTAAAGTTTTTTTTTTTTTTTTTTTTTTTTTTTTGTGATTTCGATATCAAAGTCTGTAGGTACTGCACACGAGGTTGAGACAAATAAATAAATCAACTGTTAGTTTGGATTGATATTTATTTCCTTCTGTTTTTTATTGTTATTTACAGCGCTACCTTTAATCCGATGTTAAAAATATTCTTAAAATTGTATAAATCACAGGCACAAACATATCATCATTACACCCCGTTACCCGATAAATTGCTACGAATGTACATTTTCTAGCAACTCTAACAACATTTGGCTACAAACTTTATGTACAAAAAAAAAAAAACAAAAAAAAAACAAAACTTGAATTCACTACCACAGAAAATCTCATGGTATCAGTTAGTTGTCATCGTAATAAAAATCGTCCTTTCTACCACCGTGCATCCGAACGAGGTGTTTAATGGTGTCACTTTTGTGCTTACTGCGGTAGCTGCAGTAATTGCAGCAGTATCTCGCAGGTTGGAGGCACTCGATTCTCTTGTGGCGATCGAGATTACGCGAATGCTTGTAAGACTTGCCGCATTGGCAGGAGTACTTTTTTACACTGGCTTCCGGGATAACTTCGATCTGGTAATTGTGGTCGTAGTGCTGCTGCATGTCATCGTAGTAACCTAGAAATTTTCTTTCATAAGCCTGTATTGTTCATGTTATTATTATTTTTATTATTTTTCTTTATGTGCGTGTGTTACCATTATTTTTTATTTTTTTTATTTTTTTTTTTATTTTTTATTTTTTTTTTTTTTGGCTTTTTGAATTGTTTGATGGAATTGGGGGGCTTTGTTAACACAATAATTATTATTATTAATAAAACATTGTCATGCGGATGCGAGTCTAAGCGCTCACCAAATGTATAACAATTATATTTGTGAAAGGGGAATGATCCCAC